ACATATATACATATATATATACATATATACATACATATATATATGTATATATATACATATATATATGTATATATATACATATATATATGTATATATATACATATATATATGTATATATATGTATATGATATATATATATATATGTATATATATGTATATGATATATATATATATATATATATATATATGTATATTATATATATATATGTATATATATGTATATATATATATATATATATATATATATATATATATATATATATATTCTATATATATATTCTATATCGGAGAAAATAGAAGACCTTTGAGGACAAGGTTAGGTGAATATTGACGTACTGCCATTGGTATATATAACGATGCCAAGCTAAGCAATCTGTTCGAAGACATCTTAACAGTGTTAACATCTTAGCAATCACAGTGTTTCAGACATGAAAATTCGAGCTCACTGTCCCATTTCTGTCAGCAATGATACCCCCAAAAAACATGAAATGCGCCCCATTTCCAAGCTTAACACTGTCCACACCTACGGTATAAATGAACGTTTTTCTTAGGTTTAGCTAAATCTGTCCTTGCCAAACTTTAATTCTCACCTTATTCTTTACTTGTTTTATTATATTCCTAATATTGTTACTACTATCCCGTATAGTTTCATTCCTCAGATGTCTTACTTATTATTGCCAAACTACCTTTAATATGTATCCCAACGACCACAACTCAATATCACATGTACTATAAAGCCCGTTCTCCATTACATTCACTTTGCCCACGCGGGCAGAGCGGACACTATCGAGCATGCGCCGTTATGTTATAGCGTGACGGTTACGTTCGCTTCTTTTCCCTTCGTGGTCCCTTCCATTTCGCCTCCTAGAGATCCAGCACCTTCTGCTGTAGAAGCTTTGACTGCTACGTAATACTTTGTAAATACATTCAGTCCCGTTATACTCGTACTTAATATGTCTTTACCCACGGTTTTCTGATTGTTATTTGAACAAACAACGGACGAGCTTAACGAGTAACACACAGTGTATCCTGTTATAGGTCCGTTTGTACTTGGAACAGCTTTCCAGGTGACTTGCAACGACGTGGAGCTTAATGTTGTAACAGCAGTTATATTCGCACCACTCAAAGGTGCTAAAAGAAGAAAATTGTTGAAACAATAAACTCTAGTCTGGTTATTTACTTCTTTTTCGGAAACAAGATCTGGTTTGTTTCGAAACTGTCTGTCTGAACATTTCAAAATATATTACCAGGCAAAAATTTTCTATTTCCATTAATTAACGGCAAGTAAATACTGTAACATCGCTAAGTAGAATTGAAAAAAAGATGCTTCATAGCTTATTGAATGAGTATTTAGCTTATATAATTAGCTTATTATATAAGCTTATTAAGACAATAAATAAAACAGCGTTAAAACCTGCATCTCAGAAGCAAATACAGACGCCTACTCAGAACACTAGGTCAATACCTGAATGGATTGGTGATTATACCTTTGGTCTCAATTCCAAAATCACAACGCTGGAAACCGTTTTTCGGCGACATTGTCAAAGGCATTGCCCGGTGCGGTGGCACCGAAAACGTCCTGTTCAACACCTGTTCAAAGACGCCAGTCAAACAACTATAATACACCTTTGCCCACCACCACTCATGTCCCTACCAGCATGGCCTTTTCCTGTACATTGAATTATGAAGATCATGATTCCTGGAATCATGTACGTTAAGCCCCCAGCACACGAGAGCAACTGGCTGAGCTAACCGCCTCGCGTGGCAGCTAGGAGGATTTGACCTCTGGAGGCCTTGAGGAAAATATCTATCGTGTTTGATATTTTTCACCTCGCGAGGAAAAAATCTCAGCGTCTGCGGATATTGTGAGGTAAGTGCTGAGCTGTTTGAATCAATTAGCCAATGACAAACCATAGTTTCTTCATGTGACTAGGAACAAAATGCAAATGATTTTGTCAATTATATTGTCGTTGAGTAGTTTTCCCAACGTGTGCGGAGAAAATACATAGCCGAGCTAGCTGCCACGCGAGGCGGTTAGCTCAGCAAGTTGCTCTCGTGTGCGGCAGGCTTTACACACTTTCCAGCGCAAAGGATGATGTAACATGCCCACCCACATACATCATTTCCACACGTATTACACACCGTTGCAACCTTAACATGAAAAATTTTTCCCCACAAAGGAATAATGCAAGGACTCAAATTCCAATTGATAAACCCTCCGCTACACGTATACATATGAAAAGAAAGAAACAAATTCTGGATTGAAAGCATTCCACTCAAAGATTTGTTCATTGAGAAACATAACACACTTAATTCAACTTAGAAATCTGACTAGCACAAACAGTAACCATGTGCTCGCGATTTCTGAAACATGGTTAAAGATAACGGTCTCCAACGCTGAAGTAAACACTGACGGTTACACGTTGTTCAGATTTGATCGTCTCCACAAACAGGGTGGGGGCGTCTGTGCTTATATCAGCAAAGAAATAAAAGTCTCCGTCATGATAGATCTAACTCAGACGTCGGACACCATTTTGACCAGCTTTGGATAAAACTTCAAATTATATATGCCACGCATATCGTCCACCTAGCTCACCTGTTACATGTTTCGACGATAATTTCAAACCTAATTGGATGCAATTGCTCCTTTTGGACAAGCCAATCTTTATTATGGGTTATCAAGGGAATTAAATTTAACTCAAATAATAAATACTCCAACTAGGATTACCAACACTTCCCTTTCACTTATTGATGTTATTCTCACCTCGTCCCAGACACTTGTTCGCGAGAGTGGCGTTTTGCATATCCCAGTAAGTGATCATCTTCCTGTTTACGTCGTCTTAAAATTCAAATATTACAACCCGGCATCGTTTTCGCTTATATAGGTGCAAAGGTGGAACATATTCAATCTATTCTGTTGGAAAATGACGTAAATTCTAAGCTATCAACATTCATGAACATTTTTAATTTTAATCCCATGTCACGCATGGGATTAAAACCCTCATGACGATCAGAAACCGACTTCATTGCCGCTATCTGCAGTCCCGCGACATACATGATTGGAATAACTATAAAGTATACCGTGACAATACCTGACAATATACTATGGGACAATGTCGTTTCAAAAACGTTATATAGACATTGTACAACTTTTCCACGTGAATATTCATCCCTCCCTCCCCCCACCCTTTTCAATGTTGCGTTGATGCCAGATGACGTCTCGTTTGCGATGTATCCATTTTTTGTGACATCAACATTGAACGGGGGGCGCGGGGGGAAATGGACAGAAGAAGTTATATGAACTTTCACTATTTGTCCCATAGTTTTTGGCAAAGATTGTCTATATCATGCTCGGTGAGTTACACTTCTATAAAACAGAAGTTAACTTTACGATTACAGAGTCAAGTGCCCGTAGTTTGGGCGTTTGGCGTGATGTAATCAATGCGTATAACCGTTTTGTAATATGTACATCATTACTATATTGTACGGCGTCATTACTATATTTAGAATGGTTGTTTTTCGAGGTTACGTAGTTTGCATAAGTTTGCGCTTTTCTAATAATAAAAACAGGAACATCATTGCAGAGAAGTATTGCTCGAGTTACGTTTACTTCACAGTGACTAAGAATTACACAAGCCACACAGGTACTTAAGAACAATTACATTAAGGCCAACCTTGATGACGTGACTGATTATATGTGATAAAGACTTATTGCATGGCGTAAGCGCAATGCGGCTATAAATTGCATCCTCGCGCGCTTGCGGCTACAGTGAGTGAATACCAATTGATTATTTCAATAAAAATGGTCTACCATACCAACATTACGGATCAGATGCGTGGACATGTGGTTTATCTTGGCGCGAAGGGAAAGTATTCGTTACGAAAAATTGCGGAAAAGGCGGGTGTTTCGAAATCAACTGTTCGTCGTATTTTAAGTAAAAGCAAAAACCAACCATTATCAGCGGAAAGACGAGGAAGGCCCAAAAAATTGTCACCTCGAGATAGACGGCACGTATTGAGATCATTATTTAAATTGCGCGAAAACAATCCTGGCTTTTCAATTAAATCTTTGGTCGCTTACAGTGGACTCCATTTATCCGGCATTTCGTACAGAACATTTTATCGAGAGCTGCGTAGTGAAGGTTTTCAGTATCTACAAGCGCGCAAGAAAGGACTAGTAAGTCGATCGGACCGCGTTAAACGAGTGAAGTTTGCACGAGAATGTAAGAAAATACTACAAAATGAGCCTACGTATTTCCACGAGGTTATTGCCTTTTATCTCGACGGTGTTTCATTCGTGTACAAGCCAAGACCAATGGCGCAAGCCGTAGCACCAAAGGGTAAAGTGTGGCGAAAAAGAGCCGAAGGTTTAAAGATTACGGCTAAAGGATCCAAAAATCTGGCAGGGGGAAAGCGCTTGCATTTACTTGTCGCAATTGCATACAACAGGGGAGTGTTTTTCGTTGAGGAATATACGAAGATGAATGGCGCATATTTCAGTGATTTTGTAAACAGAAATTTCCCGGTCCTATTTCATGGACGAGAATGCAGAAAGATATTTATCATGGATAACGACCCTTCGCAAACAAGTACCATGGCATTGAAAGCTATCAAGGATCAAGCTGCGCAGCTTTTCTGTATACCTGCTCGTTCACCCGACCTCAATCCAATTGAAAATGTTTTCCATATAGTCAAAAGCAATCTACAGATGCAGGTTCGAGCGCAGGGAATCAATCATGAAACATGGATGGAGTTCAAGGAGAGAGTTTCTAAAACACTGCTAGATACTTCTTTAGATTTTATAAATAACTTAATAACGAGTATGCCTAGACGCATCGACGCAGTAATGGCCGGAAAGGGCTATAGAACCAAATATTAGCACGTTTGTTCGCTAGGCACGTGACACTGAGCTCACTAGGCAACGAAGCTCACTTAAATCTAGACCTTATATTGCATCTTATATACGCTGTAACTGACTTACCAGAAACTTTTATTTAGCAAAGTCATTATGGATCATTGATATCAAGCCTATAATATCAGCATGCTTCATTTTACAACTATTGAGAACGATACAAACAAGTGAGAGATGATTTTTGTCCAACGATTCTCGCTTGCGCCATAGAAAGGGCAGAGACATATCAAGTTCATTTACTATGTTTGGGTGAGCTTCGTTAGTTATATGTAAAATTTTAATTTTTTTTAACATTTTTGACTATAGAATATTGTTAACACATACATTGTGTTAGAAAATGAACAAATGTAAACTATATTTCTTTAAAAACTGCGACAAAACCGTATTTTAGACTGAGATTCGTTGGTGAGCTTCGTTCAGTAAATGGTTTGTTGACAGACAAGTATATAATCACTGCTAATTGTCTTATCCTGTTAATATATTATTGTTTGCTAACACTCAGCATTTTGTAAAATAAGTTTTGCAAAGCAAGAACTACAAGGTTTCATCTGTTTTTGCTCTTCTTTTGGTATTTGGCGATGTAATTTGAACATACGCCATCGGACCTCCATCATTTCAGTGTTGACTCGATCGACACTTCCCCCATTAACTAAGGCAAGAGGGGCGTCACTAGTCGCAAAAAATGGCGTGTCCTTGTCCAACACAATATCCTTTCTCATAAAATTTTTAGGGGCTGGAAAATGCACGATATCACCCTCTAAAACCTGCAAAAACTCACACCATGGTATAAGGGTAGGTTTCCATCTCAGATCATTAAGTAAAACCACCTCCGCTTGGTCTACGCCAACCCACGCAAAACTCCCTGAGGCAGGATTAACAAAGCACTCATAGATGGTTTTCAAAGGCGAAATTAAAAAGGTTTTTCCACAGTTAGCAGGGCCATAAATATAGATATTTCTATATTTGCCTCTTCCTCGCAGCAGGGCATCATAGACAGCACCAGCGAATATTGAAACAGGTATGCCGTTCCCCTCCAATATCTCAGCTGCCGAACGTAGCCATATTCCCTCGCAATTGTCTCGGCACGGTTGTGTCAAATGCACTTGAAGCAATTGTATTCTAGTTTTGTTTATTCTCTCCAATCGTTTTTCTCCAATGGTTAGTTCGTGTGCTGTCTCTAGAGCTTCGTTTACAACTCTCGGACCTCGATTGGACACAAATTCTGCCAAATCCGTCTTGCCCTGTTCTTGCCACTTGCTTGCCAGTGCCATTAGTTCCAGCCGCGACTTGATTCCTTTCGTTTGGATTATCCGGACGACGTCGTAAACTGCCATGCGTTTCTTTTTTTTCTTAGTAGCAGCTCCGGCCTTCTTAGCGGTCCCCTTACGTTTTTGGGACGCATTGGTTGTTCGCGGTGCAGTGGCATTTGTGAGATCAGGGTGATTATCAGACAGGACATAATCTGCGTCATCTTTTACTACATATTTATACGCGCTGAAGTAATTATCGTGTTTATCTGAGAAGTTCACTTTGATTCCATGACGCATGTCAAGAAAATTCCGGACGGCCAGCCACCTTGTTTTCTTGTCCAGCTTCAATGCCATATGGAAATGCTTGCCACCATCCTGATGCATTTCTTCACTGACTACCCACTGGATTATTCTTGAGAGACAGGAGTCATTCCACGCATCGAGTATTATCTGGGCAAATGCTTGTCTACTTAGACCTGAATTACCGCATTGACTATAGGTTATGAGATAAATCGATCTTTGTTTTGGAGGCTTGGATTGAACAGCTTGCGTTCGAGACGAAGACATACTTGAATATGATACACCTTCGTGTTTAGCGGAAACTCCAAAATACCTATTAGGTAGTATGCAGGCTAAACCTTATACTCCCACTCAAAATTATGATCTGGAACATAATTCAGAAAATATTTCAGCATGCATACAATTTTATTCTTCCATTTTTAAAGCTTATTAAGATGTATGACATTGGTTTTATTTTAGATGTCGTAGCGTAGTTATACAGACTGTATACATAAGTGGAAAAGTAATATATACAACCCCCCCCTTTTGCGAAATACTCTTTGAACAAATCAACCTTTCTGGAAAGCATTAAAAATTAAAATGCATTATTACTCTATAGAAAAAAATTACAAGACACAGTGGAATAACGATTAAATGTTGAATTAATCATTAAAATACATAAACAAGTCTCTATATCATAGACAACCTTTGACAATATACTATGGGACAATGTCGTTTCAAAAACGTTATATAGACATTGTACAACTTTTCCACGTGAATATTCATCCCTCCCTCCCCCCACCCTTTTCAATGTTGCATTGATGCCAGATGACGTCTCGTTTGCGATGTATCCATTTTTTGTGACATCAACATTGAACGGGGGGCGCGGGGGGAAATGGACAGAAGAAGTTATATGAACTTTCACTATTTGTCTCATAGTTTTTGGCAAAGATTGTAGGTGATCGGGTGTGCGGGTTGTAATAAGATAGATTTCAATTATCTGGTTTCTTGCACTTCACTTGGTAGAATTAATATTAGAATGCTGTTTTTAGGGTCTGTAATCCAAGTGAGTATATATACATGTTAAGACCTGACCACGAGCGACTGCAAAAAAATCAATGAAGTCCACCTTATCACAACCCACACACCCGGTCAAGTATACCTGAAAATACATGAACTTACAGTTAGAGCTTAACAGCTGGCCTCTGTAGCTCAGTTGGTTAGAGTGCTGCACTGGAATCGCAGGGCCGTTACGTTCAATTCCTACCAGAGGACCTTGTGCTGCATTTTTTGCAGTCATTCCTGGTCAGGTTAACATATATATATACTCACTGGATTACAAACCCTAAAAACAGCATTCCAACAATCTATAAAGGAAATTTTTACATAGTTTAAATGCAAGAACAAATGACAAAATGATAAAGGACATGTACTGTTCTACACAATACTCATGCATGCACTTTACCATTGCCATTTTCAATCTGATCAAGTAGCCTCTTATTTTCTCTTTCCAGAATTTTGATATTTTCTTTGAGCAAAATGTTTTCTTTTTCATGTCTGCAGTCATTATCATAAAAAATTGACCATCTTTATCAGGCCGACTTTGCTAAAAATAGGTACAGTAGTGTATTTGAAAAAATTCATGAAACTGATCATTGCCAATAGAATAATAGGCAATACAGAATAGGGTAGGCTGATCATAAAGCTGTAATTTAAACCCAGATGATTTTACTTGTCAACGAGGAAGCTCTGCAGCTTAATGGATTATGTTTATCCCTTGAGCCACAATGCGCCCCAGAACACCCTACTTATTTTTTTACTTGTCTAACAGCCAGACAATTTTACTCGTCAAGAGGAATTAAGTTCTGCAACTAAATGAATTGAAATTTCAATTTTGGTATAAAAAATACTGTAGTATCGAAAAATATACTGTTACTACTTTTGTAAAATTGTAATGTTGTATGTAATGCCAAATACATAAAACTGTAAGATTGAGGTTAATTTAATCATACATATTGTCTGTTTGCATCTCGCTTAAAGAGTGAACATCATGCCCGCGATCCCTTGCACGCTTGGCATCCCACAAAATGGCCGACTCTCAGGATATTTATAAGTGATTTCTGAAATATCTTCTAAATTGGTCAATATTTATCTCAATTTTACTCGAAAACTGTATTATTTTTTATTTCTAAATGAAGTAAGGCATTATATATTATATATTTGTGTGTTATTTTGTTGCGAAACGTTTGTAATGGACGAATCTGATGGTGGAAGGCCGTCTGTTTATGGTAGCAAGACTATGCGTATAAGGCTGGCCTAAGAAAAGACGAAATGGGTTATTCCAACAAAACCCACAGTGAATTCGCAGAGATTTTGCTGCAAAAATCCATGTAAATGGCAGTAGCCACGACCAAAACTTCATCACCTGAGACCCGTTTCCCCGACAGGTATGATACATTTACATATTTTTTTATAAAGAACCGGGATTAACGAATTACCTACATATGTTTGCACTTATGGATATTTAAAATTGTCATTTATTATATTTGATGTAGCAAGCCAAGGTCCTCTGTTTTCAACTCCAGTATGCAGACATGTGTCCATGCACTCACAGTTGCCTTTGTCGCCTATTGTTGAAGGTAGTGAGGTGGAAACAGAGTATGTATATAATATGTTTTCATGAAACGTTTCTTTAATATGCCTATTTGTGTCAAAACTATTAATATGTGACATCCTGACTTTTTAGAATTGCAAATATGTCTGGGGTGTCTGAGCTGAATGTTAGCAGGGTAGATAGCATCATCATGGGCATTAATCCACATTTTGGTATGCATGAGGGCGAACTATCATCAGAAGACTGTTCCAGTTCAAGTACAATCTCAACCTATAGCTCTGATGATGAAAGTGATAGAAGGTACTTATTGTCATATAAATTTTACCAAAACTTCATTTTCTGATTGGTCATGATCTTCCATTGCTTTGCCTTGCCAAGATATAGGTTTAGGGAAAGCCCATCTATGTTATTCACTGATTGGTATGGTAAGTTTTTCGAATTAACGATAATTTGAATAATGTTTTTTCATAGTTTTAGCTCAAGTGAGGAGCTTGAAAATGAGAGTGAGGAGCTTGATGTAGATGGAAAGGATGAAAGGTAAGTAAACACCCAACTACACACAATAATATTGTAATCATGTTAAATCCCTTTCTAGGTCTCACGTCAAACAGAAGTCTAAATGAAGTTAGCATCATTTGTATTACCTTCGACATCAGTAAGCAATGTCAGACTTATAACAAGATGCGTTACCAACCCGCATTATTAGGGCCCCCAGGAGTGTGTGAGTAAACACTTTTTGCTTTGATTCTTTCCTCCCCCATTCAGTATAAAATAACACTAATATATACATTAATGTAAGACTATGATTAATATTTATAATAATTGTTTTTGCTTGATAGTGACAATGATCTAGATGAAACTCTTACTGCTTCTGAATGTGGCTCACTGGGAGAAACTCCTATGGACAGAAGTGAGTTAGAAGATATTGAGATTGAAATGCAGCATGGCCCTGAATCAAAACAGGAAAGAGACAAACGTCTAAACCAAGAATTGAAGGATAGGTTTGATTCCTTAAATCGTGTCGGCAAAGAAAGTGATGTACATAATGCGCATGCTCAGCATGAACGAGTTATTGTTGAAAAAACAAAACTTTTACCACTTTTTGAGAATAAGTGTCCAAATGAATCTTGTGCTGAAAAGTCCAAGGTTCTCAATTACAAGCTCAGTGGAGGAGTGCCGCAAGTATCTTGGAAATGTCCAAATGACCATTCTGGGTACTGGGTGTCCTCACAAGTGCTCTGCCAAAAGAACGGCTAAGACATCTTTTCCACAAGTTTGCTACTGACCCTTGGCTTGGTACTCTCTGGAGGCCATTATGACAAGCACATGTTTTTCAGTAATTTCATTTCAAGACAAACATGGAAAGTATTGACAAACGAGCAGCTTATTTTGTGTGGTGATGGAAGGAATGATTCTCCAGGTCATTGTACAAAATACTGTGTTTATTTACTAATGGAGCAATTTCTTGATGTCATTGTTGATATTGAAGTGACAGATAAGAGAGAAACAGGTGGTGTATCAACAAATATGGAGTGTACACTCTAAAGAAGCTCTTGAAAAGGATTGTGGGCAAACTCATTATGTCAAAGATTGTCACTGATGCATCTACAACTGTTATGAAACTTGTACGAGAGATGAAATGTATAGTACATTGAGTAAAAAGAAGTGGATAATTTATTTGGATTCTCATTCTCTTTGAAGTGTGTTATTCTTGTCAGCTTGAATGCTCCCAAATGCATTTTATTAGTATATGCTGTTTATAATTTATTAGTATATGCTGTCTATATTCACTTTTCATTGGTAGGGTGATTCCAATTTACTGGTTTAATTTGAAAGGATTTCTCTGATACAATTTTGAATAAAAATATCTCTCCAAATATGTTCAATAATTTTGTGATTTCTTGTAATCTTTTTAGATAAATACTCCATTTTTGGCATGTTGTTGAAAATTGTAAGGGCAGTGCTGAGAAGCTCAAGGTATGGTGCAATAGTAAAATGAAAGTGAACATAATGAAAAATATCTTCAGTTTACTATTATAAGTATTTAACAGTGGAATTCTGGCTGTGTTGCTGGGGTACATGAATAAATAACATGCCTCTATTGTCTACCAATACACAATGGTGTAGCCTGATCCTTATTTTTGTGCTGGCGAAGTGCAAACACTGAAGGCGTGAGAGAAGCTGGAAGTGTCCGGGGTATGCTCCCCAGGGAAATTTTGAAATTTAGGGCTTCTGTAATGTGATTTCCTGCACTTGCAGAATTTGATATTTTGCAGAATTCCAATGTTAAATGGTTATTAACCCTGTAAGTGGCAATGCGCCCAGGTGTACCCCACCTTACTGTTTCATGTTATCTAATGCCAGACGATTTTACTCGTCAGGGGGAGAGTGATGCCACTCAATGCAGGCTGCGCAATAAGGACTGGACTGGAGTAACTATATTTTCAAAATGATGCATTTTTTCCACTCAGGTTCAAAATTCGATGCCCTTTTCTCATGTTTACAACCCCAATAATCACCTGCTGGGGCATGATCCCCTATTTAATGACATCCATTGTTACCCATTAGGATAGTTGGTTTGGTGTTCTCCGCTATGTATGTGGAGAACATGAATGGGCAGATGGGGAATGTGATCATGGACCATTAGTGGAGGAAGAAGGTGGAAAGACAATACTACCAAAAAAATCAAAAGCAATGGAAGCAATCAGAAAAGTTGTGATTGATCCTCGCTTTCTGAGTACACTGCAGCACTATGTCACTTTCAGGTAGTTTATGTTGTATTATATTATCTTTTGATGAAGAGGATTTGTGCAAATTTAAAACAAGTGCACATACTGTACATATAATTGAAATTTGCTTAGTGAAATGCTTAACAACGTTTACCTGCTAATGCTGCAAGAACCACAACTAACGGACAGTTGGTTCTGACTTATGACAGTGAATGATAGAAGTATATTATGGTATTAGAAATCTAAAAATCAAAATATTGATTTGGAATTCATATACCAAGTTAAAAAAATGCCCTCAATTGACATATACAAGTCTGTATATGTATCACCATGTTAGCGTATTAAACCTTTTGCTTCTATTTTATAGGCACACTAGCAAACTGGAGAATTTTAATTCAATGCTCTTAAAATATGCCCCTAAGAGAGTTGGATTTCAGTAAGTATCATTATGCCATAGTTGAATATATACAGTACTTATGCTGATCAAAATTTATTTATAATTATGCATTTTATATATATATGCATTTATATAGGAATGAATCTTTTACAGCTAGAACTTTGTTAGCTGCCATTGATCACAATGCTCACCTTCATCGAAAGCCACTTCTCAGTAAAGAAGGAAACTTGAAGTACAACAAGGTCTTTAGTAAAAGATCGAAGAACTTCAGAGTTTCAGTTGTGAAGGATAAAGAATACGACTACTGGCCTAGTATCTCCACTAGGGTGTTACAGCAGCGAAAGGATGATAAAAGAAGTATCCTTCGTAGTACACCAATTCCTGATGACCATCCCAAAAATATTGCTCCATCCATTGCCCAAATACCTATCCCAAAAACAAGCAGTTTGGTTGAAAAATCTCTATCAAGATACTCCAAAGAGTGACAGCATGCAACCATAATGTACATGTGGCAGTAGCGTAGCCTGCCTGGCAATTTGGTCATGCTATGCAAATATTTTCATGTTCATAGACTGTGAAAACAATCAATTTCTAAAGAAATGAATAATGACAATGATTTGAAATTTGGGTAGCATGAGTAAATTGTCAAGGCTGGCTACGCCACTGACATGTGGACTTGCAGCAGCTCTGTTCTCCCTGAAATAATAATGTAGAGCAATTGAATTGCACTAAATATACTGGACTTCTTAGTTCTTACAGTACATTATCAGTTCAGTATAGTGCAATATTGTAAGTCTTATGATCATAATACTAAAATCACACTCATAAAACGAAAGATCACAATCACCTCGTAGCCAATTCCATGACGGAATTTCCATTTGACAGACAGCTTGATTGGATTATTTCACCCAAAATCTTACCATATTTGATTGAGGAAGTACTATATGATTGATTATCAGGACCATGATTGATGTGTCCAGGTGCATGGGCAGATACTCTGATTAACCCATTGAGTGGCAGCACTCTCCCCCTGATGAGTAAAATAATAAGATACTGTAGGGCACATCTGGGCACATTGCCACTTAAAGGGTTAATACCAGTTAATTGGGTTAATTATATTATCTGTTAACCCATTCAGCCGCAATGTGCCCCAGTGTGCCATATTTATTGTTTTTATTTGTCTAATGCCAGACGATTTTACTCGTCAATGGGGAAGCTCTGCAGCTTAATGGGTTAACATATTGCGATGCCCACAGCCTATGAAAACATAAACAATATTATCACATCTTTGTATTTAGCATTTTGATAATCATTAGTACATGTAAGAACTGTAAATAATAAAAACAACTGTATATTACAAATCTCTATTTAAAATGATAAAGGTAAATAAGCATGCAGATGAACCTGTCTCCTGTAAAAGAAAATTATCGAATGCTTACTTTGCATTGCCAAATAATAGTTCCACTTTTATTTCTGTTTCTATGCCCTTTTGAAGCCCATATACTGGCCATCGTCTGCAGGATAAACCTGTCTTATGTCAAACATTGTAGCTTTGCTAATTGCTAATGAATATTCAAATTACTTTGAATTCACAATGGTGTTCAGGCTAACTTTTCAGCCTGCCCGGTGTGGATACACACTCAGAATGATATCAAAACATTGCTTTGAATTGTTCGATATAAATGCCAGACTGTTGTAATGTTATTATATGTTGGTGGCATTGTATAGTCAGTAAAACGTAACATAAATATACAGTGGTTTCACTGAAATGTCTTGCTTTCACTCTTCTACAGCAATACGATGGCGTTTGAATGCATTTAATCCGGCATTGGAAACTGCTGCTTTGTTTGCAACATCCAATCTATTTTTACACAGAGCTTTTGCGGTTCCGCAGGAACACTTCTCTGAGCAAAACAAAGCATCATCTCTGCAGGGACGACCTTGCTGCTTTTTCCTACTCTTTCAGCTACAGGTATTCTTACACTGACAAAACTAAGAAAATTAATGTACACGATTACAAAGATGAAAGAAAATTGTCTTAGAATATATCATGCATAACGATAAAAATTGTGAGCAACAGAGCAAGTAATCACCTGCGTTCGTTCAGGAAGGATAGGCATCTGAGCAGTCGACTTTGAAGGGCCTTCCAAAGGCAGAGAACGGCGTACTGGCAAACCATAATAATTAGGATCATCTTCAGGATCATAAATCTTGTGTTCCAAGTCGGAATAACTATCCGAATCTGACATTTTAAAAGCGAATTAGGTAAAAGAATTCTACAAACCTTGTGTGCATCTGCTGCCCGCATGCATATTGATTAGCTACAGCCGAATGTAAATATAAAACATAAACACAAGCACGCAAGGGATCGCAGGCATGATACTCACTCTTTAATTACTACTCACTATTATAATTACTTTAATTACTACTCACTATTATAATTACTATTCACTATTTCTCCTTTATCATTGAAGCAAGATTGGCTGATCTGTTTGCCTCAGTTATCTTTGGGCCAGATGCTTGTAACTTTTTTATTACAGGTTACTGTAAAAAGTAATAAACCAGACCATGCAACATTAAACATAGCAAATGATATTTACATTTATTTTTACAATTAATTTAAAAAATTGAGTTTGCGAGGCCCGTTTCAGACAATGTACTTCTCATGTGCCGAACTTAGTTGATGAATTAGGTACGGCAGAAGAGTGATGTATGAATCAATTAAGTACGGCAGAATTTGGAGCAGCAAAAGTTTGACACAAGTTCGGCAGAGCTTGTCGCATTATGTGACGTTGGAGCGACATTGATTCATACGCCGGTCCACTCAAGTGCCAAACCTAACTCAACTTGGTCTAAAAATAAACTTATTTATTTTGAATATTATTTAGGTTTTGCTGGCGAATGTGCCCTGACCTTGTCAATAACATTGTATTTGGTACACTGTTTGAATCACTGCCGTTCTTGTGTCGTATCTAATACAATTAAGTTCAGCACATGAAGAGTACGCCGTCTGAAACAGGCCTGAGTTGTGTTTGTTTTGTATTTAAATTAACTAAAATGCTGTAGTTTGGTTCCAAATAGAATATTATAGTTTAAAATATGATTCTTACTGACAGCTAGTTCTTGTAATCCTGTGTTTTACCAGCTGGTGCAAGGATCAGATCAATGCCCTTCCATATTTTTATTCAGTCATATGTTATTCAAATTTAGTTTATTCAACACATTAATGTCTGACTTAATGAACATGATGCATGGCAAATACATTTCTATTAAAGGGCATATGAAGCGTAAATTTTGATATTTAGTTTTCAGCTCTTCTAGGAATATAAAACGCGCTCTTTTAAGTGTAATACTTATTTTTACATTTCAACTTCTTTAAAATGGTGAAATTTGCCTTCAAACTTCGCTTTTTGGCAGCTTCGAGCCCAACTCGCATTTAGGGGCTTGGGTCCGAGCGATGACGTAGGAAGTTGTACCCGATTAATATACATCACGATGCTTTCAGCTTTCAGCGTCGTTTAGCATAACACTTGACTTCGGACGAAAATTTACATTGTAATTTACAAGTTGTGCGCTGTAGTTTCCTACTGTATATCTGTATTCAGTGTTTAAATCAGCAATTCAAAGCTTTGTTTGGAGTATCAGTTCTCTCAGTTTGCGAAGAAATGGCAAGCGAATATGTCACCGACGATTCGGAAAACGAGAGCATGTCCGAGAGCATGTCGTGTTCATCTTCGAGCGACCAAGACAACAGTGAAATCGTCGAAGACGTATTAGCCGGGTCTTATCAGCCTTATGCTCACGAACCATTAGCAGAAACTTCTGACGAGGATGAACAAGAAGAGGTCGATGTTGATGGGATTCCTTTACAAGAAATTGAAGACCGATACGAAGGAATACAAACGATTGAAAATTGGTGTTGTTGTGGGCATTGCGACGCGCGTTTGTTATTTGGTCCAAGAGAATACAGATGCTGTCACGAGATAGATGCGGCAAATGTTTTTAAGTCAGAACCAACAGAACCTGTTCAATGCGTTACTGAACATCCTGATTTTAACGCTGTTGTATTGCATCCTCGAGTCCTGCAAGTTGCAGCGAATGGATTGAGAACGAGACAGGGTAAAAGGTATAAACAACTTG